AGGCCGGTCTGTCACAGTAATGTGCAAGACCAAAGTTATGCCAAGTGCATGTAGAAATGTGCAGATGCACAAGGGTAGCATCTTCTCCAGGAGCCCTTCTCCCAGGGCACACCTCTACAAGAGATTAAGTCCCTCCTAAGAAACTATTAGATACCTGTGTCACTGTGAACATCCTGACCCCATTGGTTTGATTTTCAGGTCAGCTGAGCTCATCTCAGGCTTTCATAGACATGGGCAGGGACAGCAGCAGATAAGACCATCTACCACTCTGGCCATCAAGACGAAGATAAAGGTCACTGCCTGCCTCCCAAGAGGGGAGCTGTGAAACACAAGCAAAACAGTCATTTGGAAGAAAGAAACAGCTCTGGCTGATCTGGGTACACAAAGAGACATATATACCTCCAAGCCGATAGATCAGGCCGGATCCATGCACCATATAAACACCCTTCTGGACCCTGCCGTCACAAGCTGCAGTAAAAGGAAGCATGGGCCTACATTTAGCTGACAACTACTGCAAAAGCCAAATCCTTACTCACCTCCCTCATCCACACACTACAGTGAGGTACAAGTGCAATGCAGTGCACACACCAGCACAAACTGACCGTCTCCATTCACTCCGCATTAATTTAGGCTTCTTTGTGCTCTCACACCGATGGGTCCAGAGTGAGTCAAAATTAGCATTAGCTGATAAGCATAATGGAGCCTGCTTGAAAATGCTGTCATCTCTCTTTAGAAGCTGACAGCTGAACTGTTAAGCTAAGAGGTCAGAGTTGATTGGCTTGAGCACCAGCTGTATGCGGCCCTGGGAAACGCGCCAAAGGCTTTTCCAGCTCAGATCTGCGAGATGCTAATCTGTGGGTAAACCCTATGCACAAGGGGCAAACGGCTCAGCTGTGTAGGTGAAGAATGATTTAGGAGCCCCCGCAATGGCATCCCAAGGTGTCAGCAGCTGTCAGTCTTCTTGATCCTTCCTAGCTCACTGCAGCACTAAAATATAGATAATTATCGTGTAAAGTTCTTCTTGAATTGCAAGGGCGTCTATTGCCTTTGGGACACTTCCAAACGCAATTGTATAAATAGAACTGTGCTGGACTCGCTGCTTAGCAAGGAAGTTATATATGCTTAACATTTCCCTCGTTTGGTCCAGAGAAAACTTATATGTATATACAGGAATGCTGTCTTCATAAGATTGAGTAACTTGGGGTTTGCCTTTCCGTTTTCTTCACTTATTTCTGTGTCATCTACTAAGAATACATGCCCACACACACACACACACAGACCTTACACAGTGTGCAAATTATTCCACAGGAAACTGAATTTTGAGTGAATTGGCTTGTAATATACCCACCTAGATATGCAGCACACGTGGTTCCTCAGTGTCAATCACTTTTTTTCCATTCTCCTCTCTCTCTCATCGCATGGCAGTTTCCTACCTTGTGACTTGGAGGTGATGTGTCACGAGAATGGGTGGTTATGGCACACAGGACAGAGAACCTGCCTGACCTGAGCAATAAAGGAGAAAGAGGGCACAAGCCACGCAGTCTACGGCAGCAATGACATCATTCAAGAGCAAAATGGACACAGTTCATTTTCAAGCATGCTGGTATTCACCTTTCACAAATTTTAGTTTTCCTTGAGGAAAAACACTCTTCTTGCAAAAAATATAGAAGCCTGTTTAAACTGAAAATTCTTCCGGTCAATAGAAGCATTTTGAGAAACCCTTTTGAAAAATTTTCTAATATTTTGCCAAAGTTTCAAATCTTGGTGCCCAAAATCCGGTTCCTAGGTTGGTATCCAGGCACACAAACTAGTGGTCTGATTTTTCCCCAAAGCATGTTGAACATTCTGTGTCTCTAGTTTCTGTTGAGTGAAGTGCTGAGTGCTTAGCAATTCTGAATTACCAGGCCTAGAGCCAAACTTTTGAAATCTGAACATCTAAAATTAGGTAGCTACGGTCTGATCCAAAGCCCAGTAAAGTGAACGGAAAGGCCACCGCTGAACTTCTGGTTCTGAGTGAGGCTAATTCATCTATACTTAGATGCCAGAATGAAAATTGCCTTGTTCAGGTCAGGTCAAAGTCATGAGCAACCACGGCTTTAGTTGTTGTTGCCAGTTCCTGAGGTGCTGTAACAAAGTAAGTGGGATGGGAGAGGAAACACTAAGTATAGTGTCACCTTGGCAATCCTCTCCATGAGCAGGTATTTTGTTGCTTTCATGTCCTGTGCATACTACGTGTACAGGTCAAATGTTGATATACATACATATATAGGTAAAAAAAATATATATTTATATTAAAAAAAAAAAAGCTTGGAGATATAAAAGAGAGCTTGCATAATAAATAAATACTTCTCATGGTTTCATGGTACACCACTCATAATGTGTTAAGGATCTCAAAGAAGGGGCAGAAGTCACAACTTAAAACAGGTATGGGTTAATTAAAATCATGTAAATGTATGTAAGTAAAATCGTGCAAATGTATGTATGGAAAGGTGTAAAGATACAGAGTTGACAGGCGTGGCTGATACACCAGGGTGCTGTCCTGCTCAACAATCCAGAGAAATAGGCCAAGAGGAACCTCATGAAGCTCAACAGAGGGAAATGTCAAGTTCTAGCCCCAGGCATCAGGACAGGCTGGGGCCAAACAACTGGAAAGCAGCTCTGCAGAGGACCTGGGGCTCACCACAGACACTAAGCTGACCATGAGCAGGCAATGGGCCCCTGCAGCAGAAGCCCAACAGCTTCCTGGGCTTTATCAGGCAGAGCATTGCCAGCAGGTCGAGGGAGGGGATCCTTCGCCTCTGCTCAGCACTGATGAAACACAACTTGAATGCTGTGTCCAGTGCTGGGCTGCTCAGTACAAGAGAGACATGGACATACTGGAGGGAGTCCAGCAAAGGACCATGATGAAGGGACTGGAGCATCTGACATAGGTGAAAAGGCTTCAAGAGGTGGGACTGTTCAGCCTGTAGAAAGTTCAGGGTGAGTTTGAGACTCAAGGTACACACCAGGCATCTACATTAAGGTCCCTCAAACTGGGAAATTTTGTCTGTAGGCATGTCTTTGACACTAATGTGCCTGGGCACCTTCAAGGTTCTGGCTCTTCATGGCACCTGGCACTAACAGTTGAATTACCTTTTTCTTCAGTTTTAGGCAAGTGACTTAGGCAAATAACTTATCTCATTCAAACTCTGCTTATAAATTGTAAAAGTCTGAAAAGAGAACTGCTTAGACTGGTATTCTCACTTCTAGCAACTTGTTTGGGTTTTCTTACCTTAATCATATTGTCAAAGTTGGATGCATTTCTACTCTTAAAAAGACTGATGGCTAAAAGTTGTGGACGGCCCAGACTCCCCAGGACGGTTTCTCTTCCCATCTGAAAATTGCTGGGCTCACCTTGAGCTGTTGCTGAACCACTTCTGGGCAGACAGTGAAGCCCACACCTCTGCTTTTTCCCTTGCCAGCCTGAGGTGAGCCCAAACGTGTTGATTTGCTCCCTGGGCAATGGCCGAGTGCTCTGGGACTGGCAGAAAAGCCCCAGCCCTGCCAGGTGGGACTGGTGCACAGTGGTGATGTCCCCTGTGCAAGCTGTGATGCACAAGAGACTCTGAAAATCTATTTTTAAGCCACAGGGAAGGTGTGATAGCGCTGGATGAAGACACCATGTTCAGCTGGGGTAGGGAGTCACAGCTGGTGAAAGACGAGAATCTTTCATACTGAATTATCAAGTATTCACCGTATTTAAAAATAGATTTTTCCGTGTCCTTCTCCAGCCACTGCTGCGTGTCTCAGCCAAGCTTACAAACACAAACTGACCGTGTAAATTAGAGAAAATATAGCAGCATCTGGTGCAAGGTGGGCTGCAGAGAAAGGCTGTGCCCATCGCTGGCAGAAGTTCATTTCAACGTCTCGGTTTTCTCGCAGAAAATTTGTCATCCCTGGAAATGCTGGAAGGTGGTTTGCCCAGCGGCAGCGAAAAGTAAACAGGAGGTGATTTTTGTCATTGCACTGGAGCGGTGATGGCTTGGCTGGGAGGATGGGTGGCACCAGCTTCAGCGGGGGTGGCTGCAAACCCGGACGGACAGCACAAGGGACACAGGGCAAGGGGTCACTTATTAGCAATCTTTAAGCAACACGCACACTGAACAAGTGATACCACAATGTTTACTGTCCTTCCTTCAAGCTCAGTCCCTGCTGTCACCGCCAGCTCTGCTCCACCTAAACACTCCAGAGACAGCCTTGGGTAACTCAGCACAGCCCCACCATCCTCCCGGAGGGGAAGGAGACCTCTCTCAGCAGCATGGCACACACCTACAGAAACCTCTGGTTTGTAGAAGACACTGATTCTCCCGAGCCATTAAAAGAACAGACGGGGAATGCCTAGGAGGAGTTTAATTACTGATTTCACAGACCCAGGGACTGCGGGTTCTTCAAGCTGGCTCGAGATTTTTGAGCAGGTGATGACACCATCACAGCGACACCGACACACTCACACCTTATCCTGCTGAGGCTGAGGGGGCCATGCCGCGGCGCCTGGCGTGCCCAGGGGACACCGAGGGACTGCCACCCCGGGCAAGGCTGGCAGCAGGGCGCCAGCGGACGCCTCCGCCTGCAACTGACCCGGGCTTGTCCCTCCGGGCACTGCTCCAAGCACAGCTTGGCCAAAAATAGGATCATGGGAATCCCTGCCTGAAACCCAGCTTCAGAAAGTGCAATTATTGACAATGCCCCAGTGGGACACAGGTTCTTTGAAGTCCACGTCCACAGCACCACCGGTGCGAGTCACCCTGGGCAGAAAAGTGACCTGAGCAGTTCATTCACATGGCTGCACATGAGGTAACCTGCAGGATTTCCAATCCACAACAATGTTTTTTTCATTTACAAATAAACGTCCAGGTGGGAGGAACAAGCAAACCACCAGCCTCGCTCGGCACACTCACTGTTCCACAGCAGCCAGGCCGGGAGAGGGGTAAGGAACGCTACAAATAATGGTTTTACACATTCTTTATTTAAGTGAAACGAACAAGTGAAAGCAGAGTTTTCACATTCCTTCCTGCTAAGCGAGATTGTGCCCCTTGTGCTGGTGAATTCAGATGGTTACATTGCATGCTGCAGTTTTATACCCTCGAGACCCTAACACCGACACCAAGCACGCCGGCATGGCCGGCAGGGGCTACCCAGTCACAGTGACTACAGGAGGAGACAGCACATCAAACAGGTCCTAAGGACCTTGCATTTTACATTTTACAGCTCGATCACTGCAGAATAAAATAATTACACCATCATAGACCCATCACAGACATTGGCACAGGCAACAGGTATGGGAGAGTAAAAAAAAAATTCATGACATCCTCACTTGAAAACTACTCACAGAGGTGGGCTGGGGGTGTTACTTATGTCTGTGGAGACACACACCTAAATCACCTCCCAGAGTTTCTGATTGTCTTTTACTCCTGGTAAGACTTCACAAGGAGCCACATGAGCAACACAGTAATCAGGACAATCATGAAGTTGAGGAAAAGTTCTTGTGTGGACCGCTCCATTTTTCGGGAGTACTCCGGGGAGAGCAGAGGTCAGCAGGCAGAGCAAGGGGAAAACTTCAGCGACGTCCTGGGAGCGTCCTTGAGCTCAACTGTCAGGTCACAGGCTCTTTTCAGGAAAAAGAAAAATATGTGAAGAACAGATGCAGGACAGCGGCAGGGTCTGCAGAGCTATTTATATTGGTGTAAATAAGTGTTTCAGCGGCTAGAAGTTAGTAAGCACTGGGGATGCTAAAAAGTAAAATCTCTTTCTGGCAGCTTATCACCTTCTTTGATACCCAGCATTCTCAGTGTCACCCCAAAATACACCATGCAGTGGTGAGCAGTCCTTGGAAATTAGCACTGCTTTCTACAAGTATTTTCAAACAATTGATGTCCAAGCCCTGTTAATTACTTGCAACAGATATACATTGTAAATACACTACTGTTTAGAGTTCTTTAAATTCCTATATTTGTTTGTACATTTTCATTTTTTTTTAAAGGAACTGTGTCCAAACTATTCTTTTATAAAGAAAGACTAATAAATCTGAATTATTTATCTTACCACTAAAAGGACAACCTAAGGTTAAACATTTTCATTTTTGAAGAACTTCATAAATTTTGTGAGTTAATTCTATAGATGAAATAGCATTTTATCAAACTCCTCCTGACTTTCCTGCACTTTCAAGCTGCAATAGATCTCTTACTACAGAAATCTGATTCAAGTTGTATTTGTAAACTTTTCTATTAGTTATTGGTTTTATTTAATTAATCACAGCAAGTTTTGAATTTTATATGGTTCTGGAGTTCCTGCAGAGAGATAAGAATACTTTATCACGAATATCATGCACTAATTCATCTCTATGCCATGTAAATAAAACAAAAACTTTTCAACAAATGAGGCATAAACTCTAGAGAAAGAATTTCAGCCACACAGCTAAAATCTCAGCAGAGAAGTCAGATTAGGCTGTAACATCTATGGTGCAAACAAGAGAAGCCGTGGGACCATACCAGCACAAAGACAGAGTTTAAATAGAAACTGCTTTAGTTTGCAGATTAAATATTAAAAGCCCAGTGCATGCAGTTAACAAATTCCTACATTCCTAAGTTGTTTTGCCAGCCTCCTATGCCCTTGGACAAGAGAAAATCTGACCTAATAAGTAAGCCAAGTTTTTTACCTTGAGGAGATAAATGGAGCCCAGTGGTTCTGCCTCTGGACTTTGGGTCACTGCAGATATTATTTCCCTCCAAGCTTCTGCCTATCTCCCACCCGGTCTGGATGCCCCGTCCCTGTGTGGGAACTAAAGTAGGCTGAGGGAGGAGAGCAACAAGTGCGTTGGCAACCCAGGTGCTGACATCACCCCCAAAATATTTTAAAAGGGCTAAGCTGGGCTGCAGGATTTGGTTAAGGCTGTTTATGCAGTGGGCTCTGTGGGCTGGTTTGCTTCTTTTAGTTCTTCTGACACGGTGCTGTGCTAAGAGCAGAGCTGTGGGCAGCCCTTGGGACGCAACGGGATTTTACGAGAATTTCTTTTGGCCTGTTGGTGTCTTCAAGCCAGATGTGGGGAAAAGGAAAGAAAGAGCCACCTGCAGAAGTCTGTGTGCAGATTTCAGCATCTCTTAAGATGTTCTCCAGGGTATGGAGCACAGTCTATACAATTACCTTCCTAAGTACAGTACAGGTGTTGCTGTCCTATATACCTATAGTCCCCACAGCTTCTCAACTTCATATACATTTAAAAGAAAGCGAATAAGAATAAAACAGTCTTTGCATTTAAATACAGACTACTGAAATCCAGGATCATTTTCTGGATAGAAAAGTTTGGGACTAGGAGGTCTGAAAAGCATAGTCAATTGCTTTAAAGGGCCACTGACTCATCTGCATGCTCTTCCCTCATCAGTTTTCAATGCTGATGTTAATGCTCCACCTGCCTGAGCAAGGACGGCTCCTGGGCTGAAGAGGATGGCAGGAATGACTTGCTTTGCCCTGAGGTTCTCAGCATGTCAGGAATCAGTGTCTGCAGAGCAAGACAGAACTGTCAGACATGGTTTAGTGGTGGACTTGGCAGTGTCAGATTTGTGGTTGGGCTCAATGATCTTAAAGGTCTTTTCCAACCTAGATGATTCTATGATACTATGATGCAGAGAAGCATTTGTGCCACCCTGCAGTGTTTCTTCCAAGAAAGCACATTGCTCTGTGGCCTAGAGAGCAGTAATCCCCACATTTTATCTTTGTTCAAGGCAGCACTAGAACTTGCTATATACGTCAACAAAAAGAAATGGCTATTTGTTTCCTTTAAAACAATACAGCTGAAAGAGAGTCCCAGTGCAGAGGGCTGGACTGAACCGGGAGCAGACTCTGCTGGCCTCGTGCTGCCGTGGGTTTCCCCTGCTTGGAGCCTTTGCTTCAGATGAATGATACGAGTGTTTCCACCCAAGTCACAGGGGTCACTGCTGCAGCACGGTGCTGCCAGAGGAGCATGAGGAGCCTGATCAGGTTTAAGTGTGTAAGGCTATCCACAACGCCGGCCTTATTCTCTCTGCCAAACACCACATGATACGTGGTATGCAGATTATTTACTGATTCCAACACCTTTTGTATTTATATTCGGGCATGCTGGGAGATGGTGTAGCTCAGAGTATCCAAGCTTGCTGTGACAGTCCCCCTCCATCAGCTCCCAGGTTTCACCCTCTGCACCAATGTCCACCCTCATGTCACGGGCGATGCCCCCGGTGAGGGAGGCTGGCTGGCTGGAAACCAACCCCATGAAAAACACAACAAAACAAATAGCTGTGGGTAACCAGGGGGGTGGAGGGAGGGTTGCTTGGGTTGTGCTGGATGATCTCCCTAAATAGCCTCCCCACACAATCACTGGAGGTAGGAGGGGAACCAGAACAGCAGAAATCTTCCCTTTCATTGGCCTAACCGCCTTACCACTGCCCTCCTAGACACCCAGGTGGTGGGTTCGCAAAAGCCAACACGCTGTGTGGGAGTCCTGTGCTAAAATATACAGAAGAAAGAGCAAAGGCTGAACCCATGTCTTGTCCAGGAGCTAGATGCCTAAGTAGGTTGGCACGGTTGTGATGCTGGGCTGTGCCATCAAAGCTCATCCTCTAATGGAAAACTTGGGCAAACACCTCCCATACTTACAACGGATTTGGGAAATCCAGATTCAAAATGCTCCCCATCTGCTCAAGGGAAGCAAGGAACATGTCTGCCATGAAGCTGCCCTAGCCTATTCCCTTCCCCACCATGTTCTGAAGCAGAAATATCTGGTTTTCTCATGCAATGGCTAATCCACCTCACCTTGAATCACATGTATATCCAGCAGGAAAAGGGCTAAACATTTGAGTGCCATTGAAACTAATTAATAAATGTTACACATCAGTGACAAAACGTTCCCCTTGGGCTGTGCATCCTGGAGACCTTGGGGCTTATTTTATTCTCTGCCAACAGAAAAATCAAAACGTCTTTCTTTAACTGGAACCCCCCAGCTTTGGTGCCCGGGCCTGTATCTGCACTTCTGCACTGACAGGGAGCCCATTCCTGCTCTGTCCCATCTCACCTCCTTCATCTTGGACTTCATCCATGAGAGCTGGAAAGATTCCCTTCTTCAAAGCAGGGAAACAGAGCTATAAATGTCATTTATCAGCACACACGATAAACGCCCTAACTCCTGCATACCCTTCCTATCTCTCCACAGGCACAGATGTTTCCCTCATTTTTGTGCTGAGGATCTTACAGGAGACAATGGAAGAGCATATAGGATCACAACAATTCATTAGTGGACCAGAAGAATGGTTCACCTACTCCAACATACTGGCTGGTATGGGAATCCAGAGAAAGGATATAGAAACGGAACAAATGTAATATCATCTTTCTCTGCCTCTCCTCAGATTTCTAGGATTCAGTCTATTTGGATTGCTAGATTGGGACTACAAATAGGGTTGGTTTTATAGCTCCCTCTTGCTCTGTCAGGGGGTCTCTTCAATACAAGGGTCTGTTCCTGCAGCTGTGATAGCTCATTCCATGAATAGTTATAGACCAGGCAACTTGTTCATAGTTCAGCTTCTCTACACAACACCCTTCACACTTTCAAAATTTCAAAAATGAAGCAGCAGATTCAAATATTCCATACAGCAGAGAAAGTCTCTTTCCTCAGCCTAGCAGCTATTTGAAGGCAGCTCATCTGCTAGAACTGAGACAACGAGCTAAGAAACACATTTTGATTGACAGAGCTAGTCCCTCGTAACTAGAAGAGGTGAACTATGTTACATTTACTTTTGATGTCATCTGATAGAATATATATATGTACACACACAGAAAGACAAGGACTGAGCACTGAACAGGGGGTCCCAATAAACACGCCTGAGCTGTGGAATGTGCCTGGACGTTAACTGTAAATCCGACCAGTGTCGGAACATCTCACTTCAATACGCCGGAGATTAGACTCTGCAGTTGCCAGAGGCTGAAACTCATGACCCAACAAACCATACTCCTGCTGTTTATGAACAAAGAGCCCAAAGACTTTAAAGGATGTATCTTTAAAAGGATGGTTTATTTAACCAAGTGATTTAAAACTGATTAGGAAAGTAAAAAGGAGATAAAGAGGAGAATGGACTAAATGGTTTTACTTTAAATACTAACCCAGAGGTTTATATACCATGCTGAGTATTTTTCTTGTTGGCATTTGTATTTTTTCTTCTTTTTTTTCTGACAGATCTGGATGTTCTCAGCTTTCACATGGCCCGTGCCAAAGCTCCCTCTTCGTGCCTTGCATACTCAAACTTAAGGCTCTAGTCTATATTTAAAGTTGCTGTGAGTATCTCAAGTTCATCCCAGCCTACTAATCAAGTAGCACATAATCTTTTAAAGGCATTCTTACATAATTAGAGCAGATTGTGTTCATTTTTGCTCTCATCATTAGCTTTCTCACTAAGTGCAGTATATATATTTTTAAATCTGGTAATAATTGGTTCATTTTTAAATTGGCACCTACTCTGTAGTGTAATCATGAGTATCTTCTTCGAAGACCCACTTGAAACACTGATGTCTTTACCTTTATGGACCCAAGTTTGCAGCAACGTACTGTACTTGTAATCACAGCATGTATTTCACACATATTGTGTCTCACTACGGGAAATGAAGACAACTATCACTTAAAATTGCTCAGCAGGTCTTAAATCTGGTGATTTACAGAATTTGTAAACAGACACCACCAATGTGCAAAAAGCTAATGGGCAGAAGATGTACAAAAGAGCCTGAACTTTGCCACATCTCAGTTTTGGGCTCCTGGTAGAATTCACAACAGCTGCAGCAGGATCCTACCTGCCAGGAAGGTGTGAGACCCACGGCTCCCAGTGAGATGCCTCATGACTACAGCAGAGTATTCTGCAGAACCAGTCAGCACAGGCTCCCTTAGAAGACTCAGTGAAGGAAAAACAGGCACTTGATACCTGAAAGTCATCTGCCTGTTGTAGATGTCTGCTGTAGGGTCAGCCTCCCAAAACTCCATAGATTGTACTGATCACCTCCAAAGGGAGTTTGAGGGTCTAGGAAGGCTGGACTTGGCCAAATGGCAGAGGTTTATATTTATAGCAGATGAACCTACCTGAGTTCCCGAGAACAGGATTCACACCAGCCCCAGGGTGAGTAGGCAGTTGCTTCAGTTAGCTGATAGAGGATCCTACAGGTCAAAGCAAATCTCAAATGCTGTCATTTCAGAGCCAGGTACCTTTCCTGGGGCTGCAGAGAGACACTGCAACCTACTTAGGTACAGGTGATTTTACCCTTCACTCTGAGTTAAGCATTTTATCCTTTTATTTTGAAAGCTAAATAAGTTGGCACTCTTGAGTTCCTTCCTCAATGCAAGGAATAAGACTCTTCATATTCCAAAGCCAACAGTGCATGGTGTCCCTGCCCAGAGATGCCATATATTATTCCTATGTAAAGCTGCCTATCCAGCAGATCGGAGAGTCTGACAGACAGTTCGTATGATGTTTAGCTTAGCATCAGTATGTTGTTTGGGGCTTACTGAAGTGTAAAGCAAAACTGAAGGTCCCAAAATGGGAAGGAACATCAGATCAGCAGAAGCAAAGGAGAAATATTCAGAGCACCCAGTCACAAAAGTAGTTACTAACTGCATTTGTATGCATCTCATCATCTACAGCAAACTAGATGCTTTGAACAAATCTTCAGATGCCACAGGCATCATTTCTTCAAACTGCAGCAAACTGTACCTCCATTTCCCCAACAGGACCACAGGGACAGACACACATGGGATGTGAAGATCTGGA